TACTGATACAAAGCACATTCAAGCAAAAAAAAGAGACATTTCAAACATCAGATAAAGTTGTCTATGGAGCAACTGTATACAGCCCAATGTGTATCGGATGGTCAGGCTATACATACTAATCTTTAAAGTAGAATTTTCATGAAAATATGCACCATAAATACTAGCAACACTCAGAATTTGCGTTTATATAAAAAACGTCAAAAAAGCTGTATTGGTGTGGTGAAATAAGTGCAACAAATGCTCTTCGTAATGTTAACTAAAAATGTCAGTAGATGGCGCTTATTTTTAAATTTAACATGACATGTGTTTTAGGTTATGTTTCATAACAAGATGTTTGTCATTTTCGGAATTAGGTTATTTAGAATAAGATCTTTTACGTGCAGTTCGTCACAAAAACGTTTAAGATTGATAAATGTGAATTTGTTTCATAATTTCAAGTACATATATTTCATTGTATAAAATGTTTAACTTAATTTTCGATTTCTATAATAATGCAGTGTTCTTTCAATAGGTGGGAAGAAGAAAAAAAGGATGATGGAACAAAGTGGAATTACCTGGAGCATAAAGGACCTGTATTTGCACCAGACTATGAACCATTGCCTGAGAATGTTAAGTTCCGTTATGATGGCAAAATAGTGAAATTATCTCAAGATGCGGAAGAGGTTGCGGGATTTTATGCACGAATGTTGGACCACGACTATACTACAAAGTCAACCTTCAATACTAACTTTTTTACTGATTGGCGTAAAATGATGACACATGAAGAAGCTAAGTTAATCAAGGATCTCAATAAATGTGATTTTAAAGAAATGCATGCATATTTCCTGAGTGTGTCTGAGAAAAATCGTAACCGTACAAAAGAAGAGAAAGCAGCAATTAAGGCAAAAAATGAGGAGATACAAAAAGAATATGGCTTTTGTACAATAGATGGACATAAAGAAAAAATTGGCAACTTTAGAATTGAACCTCCGGGCTTATTCCGAGGTCGTGGGGAACACCCCAAGATGGGCATGTTAAAGAGACGCGTTATGCCTGAAGATGTCTTAATTAATTGCTCTAAGGACAGTAAGATTCCTAAACCACCAGCAGGACGCAAATGGAAAGAAGTCAGACATGACAATACGGTTACTTGGTTAGCCTCGTGGACAGAAAATGTTCAAGGCCAAACAAAATATGTCATGTTAAATCCTAGTTCAAAATTAAAAGGTGAAAAAGATTGGCAGAAATATGAAACGGCTAGGAAGCTACATAAATGTATAGACAAGATAAGAGAAACATATAAAAGTGACTGGAAAGCCAAGGAAATGCGTGTGAGGCAGCGGGCGGTAGCCCTGTACTTCATAGATAGACTCGCCTTGAGAGCTGGTAATGAAAAGGATGATGATCAAGCCGATACAGTAGGTTGTTGTTCTTTGCGAGTGGAACACATCCAGTTGCACAAAGAAAAGGATGGCAAGGAGTATGTGGTTGTATTTGATTTCCTTGGTAAGGATTCTATTAGATATTATAATGAAGTACCGGTTGAAAAGAGAGTGTTTAAGAATCTCGAACTATTTATGGAGAACAAAAGAGATAGTGATGATTTATTTGACAGATTAAATACCCAAACATTAAATGAACATTTGAAAGATCTGATGCCAGGATTGACGGCGAAAGTTTTCCGTACTTATAACGCTTCTATAACATTGCAAAGGCAGTTAGATGAGCTGACGGATCCAAATGCCTCAATACCTGAGAAGATCTTAGCATACAATCGGGCGAATCGAGCAGTTGCTGTTCTGTGTAACCATCAACGTGCTGTGCCAAAAGGTATTTATAACACGAAAATTTATGATAATTTTTAGTGTATTTTCATTAATTTGGTTTAAATAGTTTAGTCTTAAGTGTTTATCAAAACCAAAATATGATAAAGTATTCCGAATAACGTTATTACTAACCAATTTTCCCCATTGTTTTCAAAAATGATTATTTTAAGGTCATTCAAAGTCAATGGAGGCTCTCAAAGAAAAAATCCAAGCAAAACGCGACCAGGTAGATGAAGCAGAAGAAGATTTAAGAGAAGCAACAAAGGCAGCAAAACGCGGCTCTGTTAAAGAAAAAATTGCTGCTGATAAAAAGAAAAATGCACTTGAGCGCCTGAAGGAACAACTTAAAAAGCTAGAGCTGCAAGAAACTGATCGCGATGAAAATAAAACTATTGCTTTGGGCACCTCGAAGTTGAACTATCTCGATCCACGAATTTCAGTGGCTTGGTCAGTAAATTTCATATTCTTATTGAGTACAAGCAGTCAGTGAACGCATCAGTGCAATTAAGAAAAAGTGTAGTCTAACCAAGAATGTAAAATTCTTGTAGTGGGTCAGTGCAAATTTGCCCCTACTCTTGTAAAAAATTTTGAATTTAAGTAATCGTAACTGTCTGATGACGCAGTCATACAACTGATGCAGTCATATTTAAATATACGATATATATTTTTATTATAGAAATACAAATTTATGAGGTTTTTATGTTGCAGGTGCAAGAAACATGGTGTTCCCATTGAAAAAATTTACAACAAAACACAGCGTGATAAGTTCCGTTGGGCGATTGACATGGCCACTTCGGAATACGTGTTTTAAGTTAGTATTTAGCATTAGCTATACTCATTTACATTTTGTTAAATCTGAAAACGTTCCACTTTATACTGTATTTTTATGATTTTACATAACTCTTATTTATTTTATGAATTGTGACCCGATGTTATGTTGTATGTTTCGTGCTATTAGTTTATGTAGGCCAATTTTCGGATACAAATTGATCAGCATTATTGTAATTTATTATGTTCCTTCAACAATAAGGATACAAATTGGAAGTCTGATTCTAATAAAAATTTACTGTATTAATTTTCATATTTGCTTGTAGTTTAGTTAAGTTAGTTTTACTCCGTAGGATAAGCCAAGCAAAAGTGCAATCTTTTGTTATCAATCTTCCACCAGTTCAGTGTCTCTGCACTTAATTCATTAATGTACATTGTAATAGTTGTTTAAATTTGACATTTTTCACTTCTTTTATTATATTATAATATGAATGATAAATACTTTTAAAAGTATTTGTTTCATTACCTACATTTGTACATAAAAGGCTGTTTCATTTATCATCTTTTGACCACCTTTTAGTAAATGATGTCTAAGCAAAATTGACAGTGTACATGTAAGATATTGATCAAGTGTAATATCATAAGGTGTAGCACTGTGTGAGGTGACTCGTGAGTAATTGTGCACAATGTGCAAGTAGTAAATGTTGTAAAGTAAATATAATGTTATTTTATTTTTTATATTCATGAAAACGGAATTTTTGGCAAACGCCATCAGTTTAAACAAAGGTACAATTTTATAGGTAATTTAGAAATGTTAACGTGTGAAGTATTGTAAATAGTAAATTTATACCGTGTCGTAAAATTGTGAAATGAGATTATCCCAAATAAAATATTGATAATAGGAATATTTCATTTTCATATATTACCAATAAAAATCACGTTGTAATCATGTATTAAGTTGGTAAGCAACAATATATATGTTTAATTTTCTTTTAACATATAATAGTACAATTTTAGACACATATCACTTTTTCAATCTTATTTTTTAAAAAATTAACAAAGAATACATAACATTGCAAAAAAATCTTGAATCCTGAATGAGAAATGATTGTTATACGATTGCTGCATTTTAAGGTTCATGGAAAAAATTCGTACTCTCCATGCCATTTGGCATATAATTCAAGCCAGATTCATTCTTGTGCAAAAGATTGTAACCATTGCCATAGCCTAAAAAAGAGTACATAAAGTATTAGGATAAAAAAGGAATCTAAAGTGAGTAAATGTGAAACCATAATTAATATAAAACAGACCTAGAGATTTCATCAGTTTTGTAGGTGCATTCCGTAAGTGTAAAGGAACAGATGGTAAACCACCCTTGGTGTCTTTTAAAAAGGCCTGACATCTCTTCATTGCTTCATACACTTGTCGACTTTTAGGCGCTCTAGCTAGACTTACAGCACATTGTACTAAAAGGATATCACATTCTGGCATTCCTATATGTTGACATCCTTGAAGACAAGCCACAGCTTCGACGATTGCATTCTGGTCTCCTAAACCTGTTAAAATGAATATTGCAACTAATTTATTTATAATTTTTATACCTCGTAACAGTTTAGGCAGCTTAAGCCGAGAAAAGTTAAAGTTTAGTGAATTTTTAACGCCGGCGCCCAGATATATTTTAACTATAAAGCGCGGCATAACCATTCAGTTCACAATAACAATGTAATAAAAATCATGCAAATTTTTAGATAGTGTATTAAACATTTACCAATGTCTTCACAAGCAATACGAATTAGTCGTCGCGCTATATAGAGAGGATCTTCGCCGCTGTGAAGAGCTCTAGTAGTCCAATATAATGCTGCATTGTCGTCACTTGCCCTAATGGACTTGTGTATTGCAGATATTATGTTATAATGTTCTTCCCCTTGACGATCATAAAGGACATGTGATCTCTGGAATAATTTTACAAAAACCTTATTTCAAAAAACGAATCTATATTAATCACAATAAAATGGTTTTGTTTCTAAAACTTTAGAACTACATATATATAACTATATATCAACTTTTATTTACCTTTATACCATTTTGCAGATCACTTAATGTGATAACTTGTGATACATTCTTGTTCATATTTAACTGTGCTTTGGCAGCTGTGATAGCAAGTTCAAGAGCACCAAGTGCAATTCTTGCATCTCCATCACAAACTTCAGCCAACCATTGCAGTGATTTATTTTCTATTACTAGCATTTCTCTAAAAATTAATGTTTTTGTTTAGTTATTAGCACACTAACTGTTGGACGTGAATTCGCCCGCGTAAAATTAAAAAAATCATAAAAAACTTAGCCTTTGTTACTCACTGATACAGAGGTTTTTATTGGTGAAAGATTTTTTAAAAACAATCCGGTAGTTTTTGAGTTATTTCATTACATACAAAAATACAAATCTTTCATCTTTATTATATTAGTACAGACAAAGCCAACTCCATATGTTCAGGTTTTACTAAAAACTGACTCTCACAACTGTAAATGGCTTTATAGACTCAAATTTACTTTAATGACATGACATACTTTGATTCCTTATTATTTTCTTTTATATCTTCCGCTGTATCAACCAGTACAGCTAACTTATTTCTCACTACAGATCTAATTAATATTTGTAATATATCATCAATGGTTAATTTTGATAAGACAACCACCCTACATCGACTTAAAAGTGCATTATTTAAACTGAATGATGGGTTTTCTGTTGTTGCACCAATTAAAATCAATGTACCATTCTCAACATGTGCAAGAAAACTATCTTGTTGTAATTTGTTGAACCTGAAACATACCAGAAGTTTACACTAGTCTAGTAGTTAAGGCGTACAAAAGTATTTCCTATTTCTATCATATTTGATATAATACCTATGTATCTCATCCACAAAAAGCACTGTCTGTCTTTTGTACTGTGATTCATTTTTAGCAATTTTGACAACTTCTTTTACATCATTTACCCCAGCCATTGTGGCAGATAGTTTGACAAACCTTAAATTGTTACTTTCCTTACAAATATGTGCTATAACATTAGCAATTGATGTCTGAAAAGAAATCTTTGTAAATAAAAACATTAATACCTTTGTCTTGTGTAACTGTAGAACTAAATTAACAGTTAAAGACCAGAAATCATTTATCTGGTTAAATAACAGCAAAAATTGATGTATTTATTAACTTGTAATTTAGTTTAAAATTTAAAAATCCCTAGTTATCAGTAAACTAATTATCAGAATTTTACATTTTTATTACTGAATAAATTAGCAATTATTTGTGGATTACTCTAGCTCTATCTGAAGAAAAGACAAAAGCAATATGCAATATAAGTAAACTTGAAGTTTTTATCATGTTCAATACCTTTCCACAACCTGGTGGACCCCATAATATCATATTTGCAATTTTTTTCTGTTCCAGTATAGAACGCAACATTGATCCAGGTCCAAAAGCCTCTACTTGGCCAACTATATCATCCAACTGTTGTGGTCTCATTTGTTCAGCTAGTGGGATACCTTCTTGTAATTTTGTTTTGCAATTCTTTGAACTTGATCCATGTGGTTCATTTGTAATGTCCTAGTAACATTTTAATGTTCTTAACCGCAAAATAATTTATTATTTTGTTAAGTAAACATTGTAATAAACCTACTTTGCTGTTTGAAGTTGTATCTATACCTTCTACTTTTAATCGTTTCGCCGTAAACAGATTTTCTTTTAAATGTGAATTATCCCTTTTACTTGTTTTTTCCATTTGCGAATTCAAAAACAAACATTTGTTAACGTGGTTTTCAATAGTTTCATTTCGGAATTCTCGATTACATACAGGACAAGATACCATGCCCGGTTCTTTATCACTTTTAGGATAGTTTAAATTGTGGTTAGACATTCTCTAATTAATATTATTATCCTATCTTTTAAAAACTTTTAAGTTTTAACTTACAACTAACAAAGATGATCTTTTACAACATCGGTAAATTATACTGAATTATTAATATAATGCAATTTATATGTTTTGGTTTTGTAAGTTTTGAATTCTAGTGTCGACACATATGAGTATGACATATATTGACACATATTTGACGACTTGTCATTGTCATCAACAAAATCTTTTACAGGTAAAATAAATGATAAGAAGTTTTTTGTTACACGGTAACACCCTTATCGCTGCTGTAGAACTACAAATTATTTGAACCGGTAAGCACCGGCAAATATTAAAACCAAAGAGGATATAACATTTAAAAATGATAGCTCATTAGCGGCTGTCAATGTCGTATCTTCATCTTTTATCTTATTTGTGCCTCTAGTCAACCACTAAGAGGCGATGCTTTTATGATGAGTTCATAATAACACAAGAGTAAAAAAATTCTGACGCGGTAGCTACAGTAAAAAAGAAAGGGATCTTTTATTTTGTTAAACAGTTTTTAATAACGTATTTATTTTTAATTAGGCGCTAGAGAGCTATCATAATTTATTTTGTCTTTTGCTCACCGGGTCAAATAACGTGTCGGTCTATATGTACACATACTCTTTGATTCTTGTCAAACGCGAAAATTTGAAAGTTGCAAAATGTAAATGTACAGTTATGTTGCAGATTTTCTATTTCAATTTTGTTGTTCACGCTATTTAAGCCTTTTGTTTCATTTTGTAGCTTAAGTATATTTCACAGGAAACATAGAATTTGCAGAATGGATATAGACAAGAGTTTAAGAAAACGTAAAGATAAAAAAAAATCTATTGAGGTCAACGAACTAGGAGAAAAATGTATAAAAGAGTCATCTGAAGTAGCAAATAGAGAAAATGTGCGTTATTTACAAAACAATAGGAAAATTCACGATTAGATATAACAATAAATAGTTATTTTTTCATTTTAGGTGAATGAGTCAACTGTAAAAAGTGATAATGACCCTTCTACATTATTTACTACAGCCAAAGGCGAAAGCTCTAAAAACGGTCCAAAAGGCTTTTATCTAAAATTTGAGATTGATATTGTGTTTTTATTGTTATTGGGACTTGCACTGTGGACTCGTACATACAATTTAGAGGAGCCTCGATATATTGTGTATGTTTTAATTTTTGTAATTGATACTATATCCAATTTTTGGTGGCTGTTGTGTCATCATCTCCCCTGCCTTATCCTTAAAATGTGTACTTAAAATTTTTATCAATAGTTGGTGTTAGCAATTTATGTAATTCCTCTACTTTTCTAATTTGTTTTCTTTTATTGCCAAAAGTTGGTTTGAATAACAATGGTCATCTTTTGTTAATTCCAGATTTGATGAACTACATTACGGCAGATATGTATCACTATATACTAAGGGGGTATTCTTTTTTGATGCTCACCCACCACTTGGTAAACAATTATTATACTTAGCGGGCCGGCTTGGCGGCTACAATGGAAATTTCACCTTTGATAGAATAGGGTCCCCCTATACAGACTCTGTGCCTATCAGAGCACTGCGAATGGTTCCTGCTATTAGCGGTAGTCTGCTTGTGGGCATTACTTATCAATTAATGTTAGAAGTTTCTACATATCAATGGACCGCTGTACTGGCAGCTTTGTTAGTTCTATTTGGTCAGTATAATTTTCTAATATTATTAACAACTGGATTTAGCTTTTGACTACGTTCACGCGTAATTAAAAAGAGGAGTAAAGATACTTATATGTTCTTTCAGAACTTTATATGTTCTACATCTGTACCAAATTTCATTAAGTTCCGTTGATTTGTTTTGGAGGTAACTTCTAACAAACAACCATCTAAACTTTCGGCATTTATATTATTAGTAAGATTATTAGAGGCTTTAAATTGTAATATTTTATGTGTAATTTTTCAGAGAATTGCTTTCTTACACAGTCAAGATTTATGTTGTTGGAGAGCATACAACTACTGTTTGGTTTGTGTGGAATTTATTGTGTAATCAAAAGCACTACTAAGACAGGCCCTACTTCAATACTGTGGCTTTGTGTCGGAGCAGTTTCCCTTGGATGTTGTTTTTCGTAAGTATTCAAATACTTTATTCGTAATATTTTACTTGCTTCAATGTTTAAAATTAGTTTTATTTTTACATATTTCTAATCATCTTATGTCATTTTTTTTCAGAGTTAAATATTCAGGCATTTACACATATTATTTAGCACTTTTTTTGGTTGGAAGACAAATGTGGCAAAGAATTGGTTGTACAGAATCCACCTTGCGTCTTGCCCTGTCTATAGTTTGGCGATCATTTGTATTAGTAACATTGCCACTCATTGTGTACATTGGTGTATTTTATGCACATTTGGCAATGCTACCAAAAGCAGGTCCTCATGACAGTGTTATGACAAGTGCATTTCAAGCTTCACTCCAAGGAGGACTTGCTAGCATTACAAGGGGACAGCCTCTTCATGTATCACATGGATCTCAAATAACTTTAAGGTTCAGACTTTATTTATTTAAATTTAATAATAATCTTATGCTTATACTACAACACATTATTACTCAACCAGGCACTCTCACGGACGGACTTGTTGGTTGCACTCTCACGCTCATGTGTACCCGGTGCGCTACACCGACGGCCGAGGCTCTTCGCATCAACAGCAAGTCACATGCTACAGTTTCAAAGACGTCAACAACTGGTGGATAGTGAAGCGTCCGGAGCAGGCCTCACTGGCGGTCTCCAGCCCGCCGGACGCCATCCGCCATGGCGACGTGGTGCAGCTGCTGCACGGCATCACCAGTCGCGCCCTCAATTCCCACGACGTCGCCGCACCTGTCTCGCCACAATCACAGGCACTATATTAACTATGTACTAAGAAAAAGTGTAAACATACACTACTTTGTGGTGTATGTTTACACTTAGGAAGTTAGCAATCATGGCATATTTTTGAATAATTCTTTATTTAATAAAAAGCCCTACACTTGCGACACGTTATAGGCTATATATTTAACTTAGGGGTAGACAACAAAGGGACAAAAACTAAAAGTTATGATCATCAAACAAGCATGGTTGCCATGGCAACAGTAATTGTCAGCCTTTGTTGTCATTTGTACATTTGAATTTAGACATTTGCAATTTAAAGTTATACAAATGTAAACATCAAGTAAAGTTTTTATAATTCCAAACAGATGATGTCCCACAGGAATAGCTAGTGTAAATTATATGTGTGAAATACAAAAGAAATAATTTTACTTTAAAAGATTTTTTTAATATGTTTTAGACAATTATATTGATAGTATTGTGTATATTTGCGCAGGAAGTGTCTTGCTACATTGACTACAATGTGTCAATGCCAGCTCAGAACTTGTGGCGAGTGGAGATTGTGAACCGCGACAACGAGGAGGCAACTTGGGACAGCATCAGGTCGCTCGTGCGACTCATACACGTGGACTCCGGGTCCGCGCTGCGGTTCAGCGGCAGACAGCTGCCATCCTGGGGCTTCCACCAGCACGAAGTAGTCGCAGATAAAGTTGTGACGCATCAGGATACTATATGGAATGTTGAGGAACATCGATACACAAAAGGTAAATTATAAATCTTGAAACATTTGTTGATCCTTAAAATTTTTAACATCTACCCTACATTTTACAGCCGAAGACAGGCGCGAGCGGGAACGGGAGCTAGTATCGGCCGAAATGATCCCAACGGCCGTGACGCAGCTGTCGTTCTGGGCCAAGTTCATGGAGCTGCAGTACAAGATGATAGCGCACGCGCCGGACGCGCCCAGCGGACACATGTTCGCCAGCGAGCCCACAGAGTGGCCCCTTCTCTCCAGATCCATTGCGTACTGGTTGTCGCCGCATTCTAATGTAAGACCTTTTCTCTAACTATCTATACTTAGGGCCTGTCCCACCACTGGCTAATAGTGGCTCAGATAGCTTAAAAATGACGTCACTGTCAGATAAGGTTACGAAAACCGATATTTCCATCACATATTTTACATTTTGGATTGTCAGATAATTAACAATTTGGTGGGACAGGCCCCTGATACTATAAATCTTGCACACATAATTTTTTATGTAGAGTGTCATATCACAGCGTATAATCACAGCATATTTTGGAATAATACTCTCTATAAAAATGCTCTACACTTACAAAAGTCTATTGGTTACATATTTTCATGCTATTTAATATAGTGGTGAATAAATTTGGAAAAAACGGTCCTGCAGGAATGTAATAAAAACTACATGCCAATAGCAGCAAACAAGCAAGATTGCCATGGTAACAGTGATTTTTAGCTAAAGTCATTGTCATTTGTCCATTTGAATTTTGACATTTGCAATTGATAGTTTTACGAATGTAAACAAAGTTTTTATAATTTCAGCTGGCCTTGCTAATAAACTAATTAAAGTAAACTAAGTGGAAAAAAATGGAAGAATGCAGCATTACGTTTTTTTTTTCATAGTACTTCGTTATTAACAGGCGCAGATTCACCTGATCGGGAATCTTGTGACGTGGTACGCGGGAACTCTTTCGGTCTTACTGTACAGCGCGTTGCTGGCGTTGTATGCTATCCGGCAGCGACGTATGTGTGAAGATTTACCACTACAAGCGTCTCATCAATTTTACAACGCCGGGTGCATTCTTTTCTTAGGATATTGGCTACATTATCTTCCATATTTCTTTATCGATCGTACTCTTTTTCTACACCATTACTTACCTGCCTATATTTTTAAGATATTACTACTAACGTATGTAATAGATCATGTGTATTTTGTTTTACAATTGAGAGAAAAAACGCGTGCATTTACCAATGTGTTCATTATAGGGATAACTGTATGGCTAGCATATGTTTTGCTCACTTTTGTAAAGTTTAGTGTTCTCAGTTATGGCAACACTGACTTAAATGAAAATGACCTTATGAATCTAAGATGGAAAGATACTTGGGACTTTATTCTGCACAAGCGAGGTTGACTTTTAGTTATGTAGTTATTTATAATCAATTATTTATAAGCTAACTTTTCATAATACTCAATTTATGTTTAGTTATATTCAGTTTAGTCATTGTGTTTGAGTATTTTATTTTTTTTATTGTAGAGCAAATTGTATGTTATTTAAATTAAAAAAAAACTTATTATATAATTGTTAATACAAATATGCAGCTCCATTTAGCTGTAAGCTTTACTTGTACAATGAGAGCTTTAATGTATACACATATTCCGTCCATAATATTGTTTTATGTACAAAACTTTTATTACATAGAAATAATTAAATGTTGTTGTTTTTTAAACCCTACCCAACCCATCCTATCCTTACCGTACAACGTAAAGTAGTACTTGGCTCGGTTTTCCTCATGACCTTCTTGTTTTTTTTGTAATTATCATATAAAATGTTTAATTATCCTATTGTATCATACACAAATCGAAAATTAATCTTACCCCTGTTTCTTATAAGCGCAATATTTGTGATGATGCATAATTAGGTGTTGTCGGAGACACGCAGAAACAATTTTCTTAAAGGTTATGGTGATTTTTAATTTGGCTTAAAGGTTCAGTAGTCAGGCCTTGAAATCTTCAAAACAAACCATTTGACATTATGTTTTGTTATGTTTGCCAAACAAACGTCAAAAATCAAAAAACCTAAAACATTAAGCAAAACAAAACACCTTATTGGTATTAAATAATATTTAAGCAAGATATATTACAATCGAAGGGTATTTGTGTACTGTAGTTACAATACATTAAAATGGATTCAGCTGATGAGGAAGAATTATTATTTTTAAATGCCAGTATTGCCTTTATACAGCAACGAAGGAAACCCAGATTATGGGTACGTAACTTCTTTAAAAAAAGGGAGACCCATGGGGTTTGCAGTTCTTTATACAATGATTTAGTTATTCATGATGCAGTAGGCTTTAAAAATACTTTACGAATGTCACCAGAAGATTTGGAAATACTATTGCAAAAAGTATCTCCTAAAATAACAAAACATGACACAAATTTTAGACAGGCTATTTCACCAAAGGACCAGTTATTAGTAACTTTACGTTATCTGGCAACTGGGGACACATACACAGCTTTAATGTTAATAAGCAGAATCTCAAAAACTAAAATAAGTGTTTTTGTACCTGAAGTGTGTAAAGCTATTGTACAGGTGCTTGCTGACTATGTTAAAGTAAGTAAAACTATTTATTTTTAAATATTTAAATTAATAGTCTACATAACACCATTTGGTAATTAAGCCACTGATAACATGTAATGCTATTTTGTGTGAGTCTGATGAAAATTACAGTTTGTTTCTGTTTTGTAGATGCCAACAACTGCAGATGGATGGGAAGAAGTTGCTCAAAATTTTAAAATAAAATGGAATTTACCTCACTGTATTGGTCATCTAGATGGCAGGCATATAGAGATGATCAGGCCTAAGAATGGAAATGATTATATTAATTATAGAAAAAATTACAGCATAGTTCTTTTAGGCCTAGTTGATGCTAATTACAATTTCCTATATGTAGATGTAGGAACGCCAGGTAAAATTTCAGACAGTGAAGTATTTAATAATAGTAATTTATGCAGATCATTACAAAATTTGCCACAACCCAAACCATTACCAGGAAGGACACAACCTTCCCCTTATGTTATTATTGCAGATGATGCATTTGCACTTAGTAAACATTTATTAAAACCTTATTCATACTATCAGGTAAATGGACATGCAGAAAAGATGTTCAACTACAGGTTAAATAGGAGTAGAGTGGTTGTAGAAAATGCTTTTGGCATTCTTTCCGCACGATTTAAAGTTCTCAGGCAATCAATTTTAGTTTCCCCCACAAAAGCATCTACAATAGTGTTAGCTTGTGTATATTTGCATAACTTCTTAAGGAAAAGTGAGAGATCAGTCTATTTATACACCCCACCCGGTTCACTGGATGAAATGAACCCAGTGAGTGGAGAAATCTCACTAGGAACCTGGAGAGATAAAAATCAAGGCATGATTTTACTGCAAATGGGACCAAGCTTGGATTGTCCTGAAGGAGTAGCTGTGCGTGAAGAGTTTAAAGCTTTTTTTATGACATAGGGAGTGATCAATCAAAGCATAATTAATGCAAATACATGAAAATTGCAGTAATCAGCTATAATCATGTGTGTAATGAAGCAAGATATGTTTGATTGCACAATTTGAAAAATGGATTTTTATCAGTTAATTTTAGCAGATGAAGTTTATGAAAACTGTTTTCTACACTGAGACTCTTATGTAATAGGAACTTTTCTCCTTTAATGTATTTCTTGTTAGTGGTTTGATGAGTAGTTTATCAAGATGCCTTTGATACATTTTGTTGTTTGTTCTCATCCTTTACAGTAAATTGTTTATGTTCATGAATTCTTTAATTTATATTTACCATGGAATGGTGCATATTGAATTGATTATAATTGTTTTCTATGCTGCATTATTGCTTGCACTTTTATTTATACACCTTTACCTATGTTTTGATTTAATATCTGGAGGTTTGTCCGCAAAATTTAATTGTAATTACCAAATGAAGAGCATAGAAATTAAGTTATAATTATATTCAATAAAATGTTATAAAAAGATGTGTTGCTGTGTATTTATTTTCTCATCTCATATCTTGTAAATGTGCAACTTACAACTGAAGTAAACAAACTCTATGTATTCCAAAAGTATTTATTAATTTTAAGGATAAATGAAGTGTATTATTAACGGCGGCTGTGAGAAGGCTCCACATCCATTGGTTGCACCGGATGCACTGACACAGACTCTACTTCTAATGGGATCACGCGCTGCTTCAACACTGCAGTTGTTCCAATAGGATATCTGTACGATCCCTGCTTCTTGCCCTGCAATTTAATATTTTTATACTTAGAATAGTAGTCAAACATACATATTAATAAACAGATGTCAGATTCCTCTTCTAGACTTACATACAGGAAAATCAAACATTTGGTACTCAATTATTTCAAAATCTGGTATTGACATAGAAACATATTTGATAAAGAAAATTACCTTGATATTAGCTTCTTCATATGTTCTCAAATACTGGGCTGGACCAGAGTTGCGAATAACACACAAGTCCACATTAGATCCTGACCCCAAGTCATTGAAGATACCAGCAGCAATTGCATCTCTCACAAGCTTCTTCCCCTCTTCCTCAGACAAGTTGGGCTTCCATCCAGATTCAAACACTGCCATAGCTGCTAAGGAACCAGAGCCTGTGAAAAAGGACCATTTAAAAGTATTTATAGAATTTTATAAGTTAATTTCTAAGGAAATAACTATTGTACTGTTGCATATTTATCATTCCACCAATAATAAATTATACATACAACATATACATTCATTGTCTTCAAATGAAAAATATCTTACCCATAGTAGCATAAGGCAGTTTGTCAACAGATCCATGTGGATAGATACAGTAAATGTGGGGCCCTGTGCGGTCAACACCTCCAAGCACAAGAGCAGCTCCTATGTAGCCCTGATAACGGAACAACATACGCTTCAAAAGTGTCGATGCCGTTTCGACAGGTACGGTGCGCCCCGTGTGTAGACGTTGCAATTCTAGTTGCGATGCCACCGTCTGAGTGGTCATTTCGGTGTCAGCGGCAGTACCCGCTCCACAGCAATACATATTGGATGCCAAATAATGGATCTTTTGACAATTTTTATCAGAAACAACAGTGTTCTCAGTTGCTCTAGTATCGGCTCCGAGAATTACACCATCCGCGTAAATAATGCCGACTATAGTTGTACCGGTTTTTGTTGCCTTTGGTGCAGGAAATCCTTTCTGAGCAAGGAATGCATTACTGAAACAGATACCTCGGATATTAATTATAAACGGTTCAAAATATCCAACATACATTTCACAAAACTTACCGTTGACAATTCTCAAAAGAGAAACCGGGAGCTGGTACCTCGGGGATTAGTACAGACGCCATGGTTTACAATGCTAATTCAAGTAATTGAGTATTAAGATTCAATTACTTAAATTCAAGTTTACAACAATTATAAAAGCAGTAAACCACAAATACAGCGAATAATGATAAGCATGAGCCAGCAATTGTTGGTCTTGATGTGACATTGACAGCGTGAAATAAAAGTGACATTTCTTATTTTTAATAATTGTTTTGTGGCAGCAGCTATATGGAGCGGGCATCCAGATTGGGGAATACCATTCACTCGGTGATGCTTGGTAAATAATTCATGTTATAAAATGACACATATTATACCACAAAGTAATTTATGCCCTAAAGTATTTTTATAATTATATTTTTTGTACTCCATTTTTAAAACTGCATGAGTGAAAAATAAAATGAAGACACGTAAATTCTCATTCTGGCAACATACTACAAGTACGAGTCCGCACTTGATTGGTTAATGTTATCGTTCTAGATATAGACCTTAACACGAGGTGTGATGACCTAAAAACACAACATTACGAGAAAGAGATATGTCGTTTTTCTATTAGAAGGCAATTAACCAATGAAAGCCAGACGAATTGTCTCAATAGACTTGTCAAATGATGTTACATGTCAAGTCAAAAATGAAAATGTGTAACAGGCGTATTAGTTCAAGTTAACAAATTTTATTCTAAACTTAAACAGTTTCTAGAGGAGGACAATTCAAAATGTTAATTGATAAAGCATATGTGTGTTTAATTTATTTAATATCATCAATTTTGTTAACAATTGCTGGTCGTGATTTTTATCAAATACTCGGTGTGTCTCGTTCAGCTAGTACCAATGAAGTAAAGAAAGCTTACAGAAAACTTGCAAAAGCATTACATCCAGACAAGAATCAGGATGATCCAGATGCATCACAAAAGTTTCAAGATCTCGGTGCGGCGTATGAGGCTCTTTCGGACCCTGAAAAACGAGAATTGTACGATAGGTGCGGCGAAGAATGCCTAAAGAAAGATGGTATGATGAACAACAATGATCCATTCGCAAGCTTTTTTGGAGACTTTGGTTTTCATTTTGGAGGAGAGCCCCAACACCATGAGACTCCTCGTGGTGCAGACATTGTTATGGAGTTGACTGTATCCTTAGAAGAACTGTATAATGGGAATTTCATAGAAGTAAGTTACTCCAATTTATTCGTCGTTTTAATGAAACGGAAAAATCCAATTTAAATTTGATTTGAGATTTACTGAATTTAAATATAATGGAGAGCAGACATAATGTAAATTGACATTTTTTAATGTAGTAACGCTGTTAAAGTCTTAGTATGTGACAATTCTAGTAATGTAAATCTATTTATATATTTTCGCAGATAACAAGAAACAAACCTGTAATAAAACCAGCGTCTGGTACTCGTAAATGTAACTGTAGACAAGAAATGGTGACAAGGAACTTGGGACCTGGAAGATTCCAAATGATGCAGCAGACAGTGTGTGATGAGTGCCCCAATGTAAAGCTGGTCAATGAAGAAAGACTGTTGGAAATTGAGGTGAGTTAACAAACATGCTTTACTCATATTTCAAGCAAAGAGATAACAATAATATTATTTTACAATGTGTTACAAGTTTAGATAACATTGGGGTCAATTAAATTCAATTTCCAGTCGGTTTGATTATAGTTTGGGAGATGAGAAGTTTGTTTAAAAAAATGGGAATATAATAAAGGGAAATTATTAATTTGGAATATCAATAAATTGACTTTTATCCCCAAATTGTCATATAAAATAATATACTTTTGTTAATTTGTTTTAATCACTGAGATATATAAAAATATTGCACTTTCTATTTTAAGGTGGAAGTAGGAGCACCTGATAATTACAAAACTAAGTTAAGAGGAGAAGGTGAACCGCATATGGACGGAGACCCTGGGGATTTGGTGATTGTGTTCAAAACAGAGAGGCATCATCAGTTCACCAGGCGGGGAGATGACCTGTACACCAATGTCACCATTTCATTGCAGGTAAATTGTGTTTTAATCTTAAATCCATATATTAAGTCTTTAAAATCTTTTTATTGAAAACTAATTTTTTTTAGCTGATTCCTACAAAACTATAGATTCAATCAAGCCACTAGGGAAAATAATCACATTGGGCAGATTGACACACCTTTGTTATATAGTTTCTTGTTATTTTATAATATTTGAGCTTCATTTTTTCCAGGATGCCCTGACTGGTTTTACGATGGAGTTGGTACATCTTGATGGGCACAAAGTGTCAGTATCTCGCGACAAGGTGACGTGGGCGGGAGCTCGTGTACGTAAGAAGGGGGAGGGCATGCCCAACTTTGAAAATAATAACCTCCATGGGAATTTGTATGTCACATTTGATATTGAGTTCCCCAAACAGGACTTCTCAGAAGAGGATAAAGAAGGTTAGTGAATAGTTATTTTTTTAATCTAAAATTAACTGTAGCTCATAGACTTTGTCCACATAAAATTAAACATAATAAAAAATATAGCCTAGAATTTTATTAAATCTACCCAGTAGTTTTACGTAAATCAAATACATAGTATAATTTAAATCTCTCCTTTATAATATTAGTATACATTTAAGATTTTTTGATTTCTTGAGAATTTGATTTAAATACAATGTTCTTTTATCATATAAAATGGAACATTTTACAGTGAAATTTCACATTGTAAAAATCCGTTTTCTTTTTCAGCACTGAGAAAAATACTTAAGCAGTCAAAGAATAACAAACTTTATAATGGACTTTAGTGATATAATTTATTTAAGTAGAAAATTGAATGTGATGGTGATGTTTCATATGTGTGAACTGAGTTACTTGTGTTGCTTGTGAGATTTGTCAATTTTACAAAATAAACCATTTTAATGTAACAAGTTTTTTTCTTTTATCCATATTAAATGTAGAAATAATTTTACTTGTAAGTACATAGTGAAAAGAATCATGATTTTTCAAATAACTTATAGTAATTTTCTAGGATGGGTGTAAAACAGTAAATTAAAGAAAAAATGTTTTTAAATAATTTTTATTATTAATATATATTTAATCTATAAAGTAATAACATTGTATAGATAATATTTCTGTAAAATATTTCTAATTTAATTCATAGCTTAAATGGTTGAATATGTTTCAATGTAGGAACTAAAATACAAAAGATATAAATGGCACTTATCTTTCCTGATAAATATTGCAATATATCTTAAAAGAAATAGTAAGTCATAATAATAACAAATATGATGCACATATTAACTTAAAATAACTAATAAAATATTGTGTAATGGTTGACTCAAGCAGTGTTCTTAACTCAATAATAATAAGTAAAATGAATTAAAAGCACGTGTAGGAACCTGCTTTTGAACTTTTTCAGCGGGAAAGTGAGTAACATTGGATTTTTAAAACGAAACAAAAGGAGTTAGTCATCTGGAAAGGAAAGATTAACAGCCTAAAATGTCTTTTTAGCCTACAGCAGTCAGTTTAAAATCACATAATTTGTAACATTCAATTCGAATAAATTATTTCTAGAACACATATCATTATCAGCGTTTGTCTGCTGGACATTGGCCATCCCTAATGCCTTCCAAAGATGAGTAGGAACCGTCCATATACGAGTTCCTGCCGTGAATAATACCTGGTTCACACTCTGCCACGATAGTTGGACAGTAGCGCTCATTATCTGAATACTAGCGCCAGTGATTCAATACAATTCGACTGGCCAAATGTGAACGAGGCATAAATCCTCTATATTCCTAGAGGATTATTATGATAAAAGAGATTCAAGAAATATATAGAGAAGGCATAGTTGACACTTGACTTGAGACATTTTTCACATGATCACTTACGGTATTTATAGATAACCTCAAAACTACATGTCGATGAAATAATTGTATTAGAATTAATTGCCAATAGGTCTTTAAAATATTATTTATATGTTTACATTTTATTATGTAACACTATTTAGTTTATAACAAAAGTTGGAGCTTATTTTAATTTAGTAAAATATTTCATAACATGTCAATACAAGGACACTATAGCATACTAAATTTGACAACTGATTTTTTTCGGTAGTTTTTTCGGAGTAAGTACCTACACTATGTCTCTGTATATTTTTTGAATGTGTAAATTGTTCTACGCGACAAGGCAGGAGTCGTCAGCGGCGTGGTGCAGATGCGGCGCGGCGGCGGCCTGCAGCACGCTGTTGACGACGGCGCGCGCCAAGTAGCCCAGCGTCACTGCGGGCGACGCAGCGCTCAGCGCGCCCCCCGCGCTCCCCGCACCCGCCCCGCCCAGCGCCTCGCTCTCCGGCAACCCGCTGTCCTGCACGCGACACACAATCACACGTGAATTTCACTTTACTAGCTGTTGTGCGACATCGTCCGCGGGAAATTAAAAAATAATAAAAAAAAACACTTTACTCACATATTACCTTTGTAATGGTGAAATAATTTTTTAAATCGGCCCAGTAGTTTTTGAGTTATTTCAATACATTCATAAATAGAAATCTTTCCTCTGTATAATTTTAGCATGCTTACATAGATAGAAATATTCTAAAATGTAAACTTAACTTCAAAGTGTTAATGTTTATTAACACATGTCAGCAACTTAAATTTTATTAAACTAATAAAATTAGGTTTCGTTGTCGACTTCTACATCTTCTATACAAAATTTGATCGAGATCGGTTTAGTCGTTTAAGATATACCTTCTAACATACATCCATCCATCCATACATACACATTAATAAGAAATATTATTACGATATTTTAATTTCAAATACGTTTAAAGTGGCTAATGTTAAGTTTGAGGTACCTTGGCGTAGGTGTAGTGCGCGTCGTCCAGCAGGCGGTCGAGGTCGAGGGGCTGCTGCAGGTAGAGCTCGGGGTTGCGGCGCAGGATGGTAGCCAGCACGCACAGCAGCTCCACGCACAGCTGGCGGCGCGCCGCGGACTCCACGCGCACCAGCGCCGCCTCCACCAGCAGCGCGAACGACAGCTCCGACCGCGACATGTTCACCAGCGTCGGCTGCGCGGGGATCGCGTGGCCCTGCACACCTCATCATCATCTACCACCTTATCATACTCCAGGTTTTCATCCTCCAGATAACTCTATCATCCGTCATCTCAGTCTTCACTCCGTTCCTGATCATATCAACTTTCACGTAATCCATCCATCTTTTTCTATGTCTACCTCTACCAGTGTACCTACGTTCAAGTGATTCGTTCGGCCTCATCACATCAACATGTTCAAATAAAATGAACACATTCCTTGAATAATACCTATTCAAAAATTTAAAGCTAGGATTATCAATCATTTGATTATTGCTGTAACCTATTCCTGCGAAAATCTGGAGTTTAGTTGCTATGAAAAAAAAATCAATGAATTACTAGAAATTTGTTACCAAAATGAAAACATTTACAAAACAGAATAAAAATTAAATAAAAGTACAATATTTCATATTACAGCTGAATAAATTACATGGGTTGATCAGATCTCCTGTCAGTTGGAAAATTCAGAAATTGATATCTTAAGTTACCTGTACAATAATTCCTTTGGGCGTGCGCAGGAGTATATCCCACACTTGTATGTAGAAATGTTTGGGCACACGACACAGGCAGCCCTCCAGTTCTCGGCGCTGCAGGGGAGTCAGTCTAAACAAAACGTTATGCCTTTATTATACCTTCATCATTCCCAACGAAGGGCTCGGAGCCTATCCTAAGTTAGGGTGAGTAGGTCATAGATGCTAGACCACTACGGGTTGACTTCATATATTCCTTGATTTTCCTCACCGATATGTGTCGGTTACGCCGTAAAGAACATCGGGTAAATTATGTACATATGAAATTCAAATCGAAAATGACATTGGTACAAGACGAGATTCGAATCTAACTTTTATTGTTACATCTATTTTTAGATTATTTATGTTGAGAGAGGAATATCCTCACCCCCGTTCCTCTGCCCAGTCGGAGACGGTGAGGACCTGCTGCAGCAGCGTGCGCAGGCGGTAGGGGGAGAGGCTCTCGAGCGGGGCGCGCGCGCGCGGCTCGGGGCTGAGGCGCAGGTAGGCGCGGATGGCCTCCAGCACCCAGCCCACGCGGATCTTCAGGATGCCGCGGAACATGTCCGGGTTGGTGGCGATCAGCCGCCCGCAGTACAGCACTATCTCCTGACATCGTTCTCACGTTGCAGATCATATCACCACAGCATACATTTGTACATACATTGTATTTTAATTCACAAAACATGAAAAGCTTCCACTTGCGACTCCTTCCGAGTGGTATTAATATAAAAATTAGTAACTTATGTGTTTTTCCAAACTATCCTTTACATCTATGCCATCATCAACTTGCCCTTATCCCTTAAGGAGGGTCGGCACAGTATGTGCTGCTCTCCCATACATCTCTATCAGCCGTCATATCTGAAACCACTTCCTTCTTAAGCATATCTTCTTTCTCACAATCCATCCAGACTTTCTTCGGTCTTCCTCTTCCTTTGTGGCCATCCATATTCAATCTTAACACTACATCTATGCCAAACATCGAGATCCGTTAAGCAATTAAGACTACAAACTCTAACCGTCTAAATCATCTATTTTAATTCTAAACATTCACATTTATAATAGTACTTAGATTCCTGACTCTTCATTGTCCATGTTGATTAGTAAAAATGAAATGTTTATATTAAATCGTGATTCCATTAATTAGTGTAGTGCGTACCTGCTGCAGCACCGCTCCGATGACGTCGTAGGGCTGTATGGTGGAGTACATGACGGACTGTATCTCGCCCGGCGTCAGCGGCTTGTCGAACACCGTCTCCTTGCGCCCCACCACGCCCACCGTCAGCTGACGCAGCACACGCAACATTCACTTAGCACTGCTTAACTTCTTATTGCTAACTTCATGTTACTCGCGACATCGTCCGCGTCAAATTAAAAAAAAAAAAAACATAGCCTATGTCACTTACTGATAAATTATCTTCTTAATGGTGAAAGTTTTTTTTTAAAATCGGCCTAGTAGTTTTGAAGTTATTTCAATACATACAAAAATAAACTAGTTTTTGCCTGCGACGTGGAATTGAAAAAAGCAAAAGTGAGTAGCCTCTGTGTTCTTCCAGTCTATCCTATATATCCATACTAAATTTCATCGAAATATGTTCTCCCGTTTAGGCCACACACGCAAACAAACATCCATTCATCTACACTTTCGAATATATAATATTAATATGAAGTATGATACAAATAATTACTTTTAACTTATTCTTAGGATCCACCAGCCCGACTCAATACAGACCTGTTTCCCATTAACGAGCACAGTGGTGATGAAGGGGCTGATGGAGTCGACGGTGTGGTTGAGGAGTGAGGAGCAGTAGCGCACGGCGCGCCAGTGACGCAGCACGCCAGCGCTGTGGTACAGCGCCTTTAGCGATTCCAGTGCTGTCTTGCCGTTCACCTACACAATGTACAACTTCTATGTCATGTGTCATAATCAGCTTGTGTCAATCCCCTCCTAGTCACAGTTTCTCTCCTATGTATAGTAATTGTTACAAAAAGTACTGACGACTGCTTTTATATTATAACTAGCAGTTGTCCTCGACTTTGTCCGCGCGGAAATAAAAAAATGCTTCTACAATTTCAGCGACATCCTTTATGGGTTTTGGAGTTGTAACAAACATGCCATTGCCTTGGTACCAAGGTTGCTGCGGCAGCAATAGCAGCAGGTGCTATTAAGGTCCCGTCGGGGAACATAAAAAAACAAACATCCATCCATCTAAACTTTAGCATTTATATTATTAGTAAGAATTCTGTCTAAAAGGATAAAAAATTTAATTTTTATGACACATCCAACATTTTTGATATAAAGGTCTATAATATACCTCATACATGGGTCCCTCCCTCTCGAGCAGTATGCCCCACAGCTGGCACTGCGCGAAGATGTTGGCGGTGGCGCGCAGCGCCTGCACCACGTCGGGCGTGGGGCGGCGCGCCAGCTGCTCGCACGGCAGCTCCTCCTCGCGGTACGTCAGCGTGCGCGGCACGTCCGTCAGCGACTGGTAGCCGATGTACTCGTGCTCCAGCTGCCGGAACTGGCTGAACATCTCCGAGGGGAACTCGCCCTGGCTCATGAAGTCCAGGTGCTCTGACCGACACATATCACAATGCTCCTGATATAACACTCAAATTGAACACATTCAAGAAATTTATAGACTAGGCAACGTGAACTTTTTGCATCGGTTCTTTCTCTGATAGGTACTATAACAGTTGTCAAATTTAGTGTGCTATTGTGTACTTGTATTGACTTGTAATAAACCAATTTAGAAAATTATAAGAAGCTACATTTTGTTATAATATAAACGAAACAGTATTCGAAAATAAAATATAAACATTTGAATGTATTATTGAAAGACACCTACTGGTAACTAATTTAAATACAATTGATTCATCAATACCTATCTTCATAATAGATAGCGAAAAAAAAAGAATTATCAAAATCGGTCCACTAGCGGCGGAGTTATGCCGTAACACACATAAAAAAAAACATACAGACTAATTGAGTACCTCCTTCTTTTGGGAAGTCGGTCAAAAATCAATAGATAGCGTTACTGAAAAATGTAAAAATGTTTCAAGTGAAGTATTTACTATGCTTGCTTTATATAATTTTTGAATCTCTTTGACTGGAACGATTACGACAATTTTAAACTACGTTCAAATTTAAACTCAGTGCTTATGTTAAATGATTGCAAATTGTAATAACCGATAGACGTAATTTGACGTGTTACCTATACAAGAGCTGGAGATGAGGTTCTGCAGGCGGCCGAGGCGCACCTTGACGCCGTCGCAGTGGCCCTTCTTGAGCATCGCGAACAGGTCCAGCATCTGCTTGAAGTGAGGGTCCCGCATGTGCTCCTCGCGCACCAGCAGACACACCGTCGGCCGCCCCGACAGCCGCCAGTACCTGCACACACACACACACACATTCCCACTCAGAGACAATAAAAACACCAAGGGCCTGTCCCACCAAATAGGAAATTGTCTGAAAACAATCCGACATGTAAAATGGATGGAAATATCGGATTTTGTTACCTTATCAGACAATGACATAATTTTTAAGCTATCTGAGCCTCTATCAGCCAGTAGTGGGACCTGCCTTAACACTGTTAATCCATATTCCATTCTTTACAATCAAAGACTTAAGAAAACCATAGATTAAACATAGTGAAATTTCTTCACTGGTAACTTCTTTGAAAGGTACTACTACGTTAGTTGTAAGTTTAGTACGCCACCTCATTTCCTCGTATTGACATGTCATTAAACATTTTAGAAAACTACTACAGACTGTAAATTAACATATGACATTAATTTAAAAAAGTGACATTAAAATTTGAAAAATATAACTCACTTGCCCACAAACTGCAATTCAGTCTTTATATCGTCTATCAAGAGCGCCATGTCCCTGTACAGGTAGAACTCTGACACTTCGAATATCAGCGGGTAACAGAGCACCGTCATACCGCACACTCGGTAAATCTATTAAAAAATAAATTAATACTTTATTTTATTAATAACAAAGAGATTTAATAAATATATAGACAAGACATAGTTGACTCTTCACTTGAGACATTTTTCTCATGATAATTTAAATATCTTATTAAATGTAGGACTAAACTTGACTGATATAGTACCTATCAGAGAAAGTACCGGTGGAAAAATTTTGTTCACTATGCCTGGTCTATATATTTTTTAAATGTCTTTGATTAATAACAAGAAATCAATATTCATGATTTAATTAAAAAAAGGGAATAAAATACCTTACTAGTTCCCAACGAGCCGACTGGTCGTATTGGACGACCGGTCAATTTCAGCTTCGGGCAGACTCCGAGTTCTCTATACACATGCACCAATTGTGTAGAACTGCATACCTAAAATAGGCATTTATTGTACATAAGGTGCCGCTATATCGTATAGATTACAATGAAAAAGGTTCAAATGCGTATCTAAAGTATTTGCAGTAATTTATGACACATAAAGTCAGTGTCAACCAACCCGCAGTGGGCCAGTGTAGTTAATTATGCATAGTCACCCATTTAGGATAGGCACCGAGCCCCTCTATAGAGTATATTTACCTGTACGGGCTCGACCTCATGCGGGGTCTGCGTCTGTATGCCGTAGGTGCCCATCATGGCCTGCAGCCGCATCGACTCCGCGATAAGCACCACTTGTACCACCAGATCTGTCGCTGTACCCTGTTCACAGTAGATACCTTGTTTAAACCACAAGTTATTTAATTTTACTAAGTTGGTACGTGGTTAACTGTGAAAGTACGTCTGCGCAAGCAAATGCCACGCGGACTTATTAAGGTGGGACAGAAGTCCCGCCCACACATAAAAATTATTTTCTCCATAACGTCCCTTGCGAATTGCCAAAATTCGTTCCGTTTATAATGAAGATTTGTATTTTTCGAAACAGTATCACGGAACAGACTAATAAAGTTTGGATTGCTATAAATTTAAAATTAATGGAATAATTGCATTTAAAATTCCAGTAGTCATTTCATTCATTTAATCATTCATTCATTCGCTAGGCAGCTAGCTATGCGTATACATTGTGTCTATACATAAGCTTTTAATTTCGAAGCTGCAGGCATACGTGTACATTTTACTTTATAAATAAATTTACCTGCTGTTGATAAGGAAACAAAAAGCGATAAAACATTGAACATCGCAGTTGCAATTGAAGCGTGTATATTTTTTGCAATACAATTTTATACCGTGCTAATATAACATTGCATTTTTAACTATCATGCATATCCTCGTGAGTAACACATGTACTTACAAACGCTGGTTTTGCCTGATTTGCATGAAAAGAAAATAATTTTTTGGATAAGTTTTTTTAAAAATAATATCAAGGTGTTACATAAATAAATATCACTGAAAAGTGTAGTATTTAAAAAAAAAGAACAGAAATTTCGTATCACAAAATAAAACATAAACGAGTTTGTTATTGTTTTGTTAACCCCTCAGTTAACATAAAAATTATTCAACCGCAGAAATTGATATCTAACCTGAAAAGCGGAGTACCGTCCGGCCCGCCTTGGACGATTGTAAGAGGGCAGATATCGTCGTATGGGGTCCAGTTCATTGACGTGCAGCAAGCCGCCCGTCAGCAGCTGCGCCAGCACGAACAACGACTGCGCCCACAGGAATAAACCCCCCGTGTCTAATATAACAGTAAAACTAAGTATAACAATAGCAAAGAAAAGTACAAAGCTGAAAGTAGTTTCATAAGCATAATTTATCCATTCCTATAAGCACTACAAAACCATAGCAAATAGCAGATATAAAAATCAGGTAGACAGCTTTAGCTCTAGTCTTGTTACTATTTCATCAAAATAAAAACACTTTTTGTGCTTCCTAGTCTTAAAAAGTAAATGTCAGATAATTTACTCACAAATTATTAAAATATTACATGCTTTATTTACTACAAACATTTAATTGAAAAATTGAGTAATTGTTTGTCATAGTTAACTAATAAAGAAAATATTCAAAGTAGATGACTGAAAGGACAGAATAAAAAGTAGTTTTAAATAAGGCTTGGGGCATTTAAAATTAATGATTGAGTATCGTTATTAGGCAATGCAATATCTATTAGTAGGAAGCAATAAAGGAAAATTAGTGACATTCCATCACATTAAAAGATGAAAGAAAAAAAGAATAAAACTTCGCCGATCAAATTCGCGTTACCTTTATTTATACTATCGTCCGGTTGGTCTGTAATTATATTAAAATTCTTTTTTAATAACAGCTAAGAAAATTTAAAAAAAGCGACTGAAAATTGCAACTTTATCAACTATAATTGTAAAATCGTGAAAAAAGGATGCATAGGGCAATTAAAAAAAAACTTACTAGCAGGTATCCTTCTAACGGAGTATGGCTCACTGCGCTCGTTCTCAACACCTTCCCGCGGAACATAATAGTACCAAGGAATTACGGGATCTGAAAAAAATTTAAATTTGCTGAAATTATAAATAAAATTACCGAAAAAGGTCAAGTATTTTTTAAAATTAAATTCAAGTTGACTTTCTATCTCAATTATTATAATTACAACGAACTTGCATGTTAATAGGAAAATTATTTACCTCCATATTCATCCATATAAATCCGAGACTTTAACAACTTTTGGTACTCCTCAACTTGGTCGGGTAAAGTCCTAAACACTCCATCAATTATCATCATAACATAGAAGAGTGGCCATTCTGATTCTATTCCATCAAACTCCTTCAACTCTCCTTCATTATAGTACCTCCTGTTTGGATCTTCTAACGCACATTTGTAGCCATCTCGACTAAAACGTTTGAAACCATATCTCCCTTGTAAACGTGTGAGAATATTATTCTTTGTCAACTGAACTAACAATTCTTCATGTGTAGCGAATGCAGGGAATGATATGGTCGGTAATAAAGCTGCATCAACACCCTGAAAAACAAACCTTTTATATATTTTATAGCCTACTTCAATTGTTATTACTTCAAAGAACAATTGTATTGTTGAGATGGATCATTAGGATATCCATTTTTATCATGAAAAATCATTTGAATTAATAAGATTTTACAATTAAACAATTAGCATGAAGACGTATCTACATTTGTATACCAATCTTTGCTAATTTTATAAAGAGGAAAGTTATTTTGTATATTTGCACGTGTGGAAATAACTAAAACTACAGGGGCGATTTCAAAAATTCTTTCACCGTTAAAAAGGTAATTTGTCTATGAGTAACAGTTTCCAATTACTTTTTAATTTCACGTGGACGAAGTCGAGAGTATTCAATGGAAGAAAAAGTTTAATTATCTGACCTTTGAACTAGATTCTCGTGGAAGCATTGTCTCGAAAATGCTTCTGTTCCGATTGTGTGCATCAATGTCTACATAGACAACACTCCACGAAGCACCCTTGTCACCAAACAGATTGCAGCCATTTATTGCTTCCAGAGCAGCTTTTGCCATCCCTGATATAATTTCAAATAAAATCAACTTATTTTACTAACTGCAAAACTTTCTTCATTAGTTAAAAAAAATATGTATTAAAGTAACAAAATAGCTTTTCAAAATGTTCTTCACCTATAGAGGATGCGTGAATTTCTGGTTTGCCATCATTGTATTTAGAACCTCGTTCCCACATGCCATAATCTGGAGTTCTGTATGCTCTTTCTACATAATAGACTAAATTCTGCACAAATGCTACTTCATCCTGCAAATAAACAAGCAATGAAAGTTAACAGTTTCCCTATATTTAGAGCATTGAATACTACAGTAATTTTTTTGATACTAAGGGACTGTCCCACAAAATAATACATCATCTGGTAACAATCCAATGTGTAAAATATGTGATGGAAATATCGGATTTTGTTAACTTATCTGACAGTGCCATCATTTTTAAACTATCCATGCCTCTATCAGCTAGTGGTGGGTCATGCCCTAAATGTATTAACAATTTGCAAGGTTAGAAATGCAGAATACATTTTTAATATGTTTGAAACTAAAATAATTTATCTATAATTACAAATGTTTAGAAATAGAAGTGCTAAATCACCTGTGTATATATAATTTGCAGTCCTGCTGTTATCATTTGCACAAGAAAAAGAAGATAGAGGGAGACAACATCTATTTGAAGGTGATGGTACTCTTCGTCTGATAGTACAGGTTCTCCGGTAGTGAGGTGAAATTTGACATGTAATGCATGAGCGGCACTCTGTCTCGTTTTGAAAGCTTCCACACGAGCCGACTGCTTTATCCAGCACTCTAAGATACCTCTCATACACTTGACTGTGCTTTGTCCTAGCTCATGTGATTTACCACGGTCATCATCAATACGTCTGAAATATACCTAAAAGTTTAAAAACAATCCTAACAAATAATTTACAAGGACTTTTATTATTCCTCTCTACTAATTATTACTATTTGAAATTGTCATATAGACTGTGAGCATAACTGTAAATTACATTTTACTATACTTTTATTTTTTTATTCAAATTACATCGTTATTCTACTATATATAATAAAAGATACCTGTATGCCTGGTAAAGACCCCATACTGCAGCAGCACAGTATATACTATCCCTCACACTAGCTACATTCAGATCAGTAGATAGAACTGGAAATAATCCAGTTATAGGACTTTGGAACCTCAGTAATTGTCTTTTTACTGCAATAAAAATAAAAATAGATTTTTATAATACTGCAATCATTATACAACACTAGGAGAGTGAATGAAAAGCTCTTGATGATGACATAACTGAGATAATCATTTATACCTATTGCATAGTAAATATCAAGTTGTCTGACTGTGTCCTCATAATTAGATATCTTGAGAAATTGTTGGGCATTGATATCATCTATGCTTCCTTGCCGGATCATTATATCTGGGAACACCTAAAACATTGAACTTACAATAAATTTATAAAGAAAGTACAGAATCACATAAATAATTTGTTACAATAACTTTTCTTAAATGCCATAGACTTCTTATATAGGCCCATGAGTTATACTAACATGCTTCTAATACAGTGGACTTTTTCACTTTGGTTCCTATTTTTTTATTTAATATAAATAACATAACTAGATACAACTTATGTACAACTAGAGTAACTAGTAAAACTTTACCTAATCTTCAAACTTTATAATTGTCAAATTGTTGTATTTTATTCATTTATGAAGCTTTTTTATCATGTAGCAAATCCTTTCGTGCTACGAATTTGCATTTAGTTTTGTTTTATTCAATCTATATTTGTTTATTCAATCTCATAAGTTATGAGCATGTATACAATTTCAAATGATTATTTTGACATTAATGTCCTTGACATGACACAAGGACATTTAGATATCTCAAATCGACAGATGACAGTGGTCAAAAGTCAATTCCTCTTGTAAAAATCTCTATTTTTCGGAGAAGGATACACGTCTCCGACATTTTATAATTAATATTTAACTTCGCCTGTTTTTGTCTTTATGGGACAATTTGATATTTTACACCATCGTATTTTAAGCCAAACTAATGTATCTAAAAGTTTTACATTCTGTGGTGTGACGTTAGATTTTTCATTTTATTGATTTTGTTTGTCTTGTTTGTGTCAATTTATAATTTATATTGGTCTTTCTATTTTCTTGAATCGTTGAAAAATAATTAACGAAATTATAATTTCCACACTATAAAAAATTTAAAAAGTGTTAGTGGCACAAAAGAAAATAAAATAACTTAAACAGGTTTGTCCTTTAGATAATAAGAGTAGTATGTCCTTTTAATTGAGTTTTTAATCATTGGCACGTTAAGTAGCTGGTCACAGGTACTTGAAATTAGTACAAAGCAAGCAGAATGAGTAAAGAAAGTAATGAAGCCCGTGACTCGACAGGGCACAACCGAGATACACAGGTTGGCCTTATAAATGGTCATTATCACTAACCACACTGAAATGTTTACGCACAACACCACTAATTTTTTTTCTTAATTTTAAATATGGGATTTGGCTTATGATTGACAAAACAATTATGAAATTAACTTTTTGTTTTATTTTTAAATTGATTTACCACTTTGCTTTAGTTATAAGCAGTTTTAGATTTAAAATCTAATAAGAATTGTATTTAATTATTAAAGATAACCATTTAGGTGTATGCAACTTTTAGCAAGTTTCTTATATTTTCGTTTCTTTTATTTTCTTGATTTTTTTATACAGAATATTTAAATTCTTTCTTACTATGTATGAATGTTAAATAAAATATTTTCTTATGTTTGGAAGTATAATGGGGAATACATTTAATTCATACATCACTTCAAAATAATTTTTAGAGTATGAGTCAGTGGTGGGAGTAAAATGTATTTGTGATAACCACTTCTTTTGTCAATACTGAAGTATTAGATATTACTAAAATTAACATTTAAACTTTTTTATGTCCTTTATGTAATTTTTATATCTCTTGTACTTTACTATCTTATTATTTCAGTTGGACCTCTTTTCTTTAATTGGAGGAAGCTGGCCGCCAGCTCCTCGTGAGCCTGAGCAAGCCCAGTATGGGACAGTTCCCAAGGTGTATAGACGCACTATGCACCGCCCATCACAAAATGAAAGAATCAAATCTGTGAATCTTATTAACCACATAGCTCCAGAAAAAAGAAAGAATAGACCTAATTTGCCATCAACTGCCAAGTCTTTAAATTTGGAAGAAGGTCAACATAAGACCAAAATGGTTAATGAGCCTAAGAAAATTGAAACAGGTATTTTAGTAGGTGAGATAAAGTATGTTTTATGCCAAAAATGTATAAATATTGGAGATGTGACTGGGAAATTAGTAAGTCTCGGAATCTTGTATTATAAACCAGTAAATGTACTGAATTCAATTTTAAAACTAGAACTAACTGTGAAAATCTATAGTATTAAGAATTTCTATATTAGAATATAGTCTTATCTGATATCCAAATTTTAATTCAGTCTATTTCAAGTTTATTTGATATATTTATCCACTCTAATTTGTTTTAATTAAATTCCATATCTATACGTAGATTTGTTACGAAAAGAAGTTGTATATTTTGTATATAAGAACTGAGTATAAAGAAAAGCGTTAATCTTACCATTTTGAAGTAATTCTAACTTCCATAAAGTATTAAAAATATTTCACGTAACACTATTTCTTGTGTATTCACTTGAACACATTTTATCAAATATCTGTAATGATGTCAAACAGGACATCAATGTTTGTACATTACACACTGCATGCAGCTTTACACTATCTAATTATAGTAGCCCAATTTCTAATTATAGTTATAGAGGCGCAGTAGACGAGCGTTGTTTGGCATAAGTTCTAGTCGGCGCGAACTATGGCCCATACGTATTATTATCAAGACATAGATATCAATGATATACCATTGTGTGTGCTACAATATGAAGATAGTATGTTATTCTTTGCAATTTTTAATCCTAGATGCAAATACGGCTGTTATAAGTGTTCTAAGTATAAACACGTTGTTTATTCGTGTTTGCCCGCGGCATGGTAGCCATCAAATCATGAACTGATCTTTACGCTTTTTCGTTTCGATAATTGTTATGTTTCTTTTGGAAAGCAGGTTTATGCTATTCATAAAAAAATAGTTACTTTAACGAAATGTAAATATGGGTTAATGTAAGATTGGAATATTGGTCGTGCGTTTAGATGTGCCCGGCGGTGAAATACCCGAAGTGTTGTACGACTCCCCGGCACTGGGTTCGCCGCGCGCGGCGCAGACCAAATCCTCTCCGGTGCACGCGCCGGATGACATAGGCGTGGGTTCGCTAGTGGAGGTCGCTACTGATGTTGATCAACATTACTACGGCGTCGTCAAGTGGATCGGGATTATTGATGGTAAAAGACACCAACGCCTAAATACACTGCTGATATTGTGGTTTTCAAAGAAAATATAGAAACAGAGTTAATAATCAGATACGGCGACGGCTGGTGTGGAGCTGGAGGAGAGCGTATGCGGGCTGGGCGACGGCAGCCGCGGCGGGGCGAAGTTGTTCTCGTGCGCGTCAGGTCGCGCGCTGTTCGTGCCGCTGCCGCTGTGCCGGCGCGATGCCCGTTTCCGAGACACTCCGCCCCCGGACCGCGCACATCAACAAATGAACAACGATGATCAAGTACTAAAATGTTTCATTCTAGTCTTTGCTACCTCTCTTCTGTCTCTTCTATGTCTGTCTAGTTGAACAAATGTAATGCTGTAATATCCAAAATATATTATTTTGGGACATTCATTGCATCCTAATTGCTAACTACCTACGTGAGACTTGGAAATATTCCTACTTTTTAATCAACTATTGAGAACTACTGAGTGCACAGTCACTGCATTACACAGCTGATTGTATTATGCACTTGATACAAAGTTCCTTATCTTATTTATGTAATTTTAGTTTCGTAATTGTTGATGTGGTATATCCATTGTGTGTTGTGTGGGAGCAGCCGGAGTGTCCGATAGTGACGGGCGTGGTGGCGCCGCTGAACAAGCTGAGCAGCATCGCGGGCAAGAACCGCGGCATCCAGGGACATCACAACTCCTGTTACTTGGACGCCACACTCTTTGCGATGTTCACCTTTACCAGTGTTTTTGACTCACTGCTCTATAGACCTCCGGAGCCTGAAGTAAGTGATGAATAGTATCTTAAAAGTGAAAAATAATTACAATTAACACTAGTAATTGTTTCAATAGGACTGTCGGATACTTGGTTTTCAGATTTTGTATTAGTTAGACAAATAAGTTCGAACCCTTAGTAGATTTGTGTATCTGTAATTGTATTCAAGCATATATCTTACTTCTTACTTTCTTAATAAACGCGAAAGATTGAATCAATGAACTAATCCATCTATAAATCTAAATTTATTATGTAATGATGCTATATTGTCGTTATCAAATAAAATAATAATAAAAAATGTTATTACATGATAAGTATGTTCAGAACTGTTTAGCGGATCTCGCTGAAGGCTTAGATATAAAGCACACTGAAAGTAATACACAGCTGACTAAAGATTTTTTTATCTCCGCGAAAAAGTATTCGTGGAACAGCTAGTAGCTAATCTTACTAATATTATAAATGCGAAACTTACTATCCACTACTTAAACTGCTGAACCTATTTAGATGAAATTTAGCATAGATGTAAAACATAGGCTACTTTTGTTTTAATTGGTTGCGGAGGTGTATGGGGGCGACAGCTAGTAGGTAGATATGGCGGGTTGCGCAGGACTGCCCGCAGTACAGCGAGGTGCAGCGCGTGCTGCGCGAGGAGGTGGTGAACCCGCTGCGGCGGCACGGCTACGTGCGCGCGGACCGCGTTATGAAGCTGCGTACGCTACTTGAGAGGCTCTCTGACGTCTCCGGACTCACTTCAGAGGAAAAGGTCTTACTCACTGTCTTACTGTGTCCTTTATAATAGACCACCTATTCCCATGCTTAATCCGCATCAAATTATAAAACTTTATTTTTACGTTTACATTTATAAAATTTTCAATTGCAAATTCCAAAATTCAAATATACAAATGACAATAGTCTTTGACATTGGATAATGGTATCTATGATCTATGGTATCTATGAGATATCTCTGTTCAAGACCATTTCGGTTTTGTGTTCTTGTTATGGTACTGTATGGTACAAATGTTTTGTACGTTTTCTGTATTTTTCTCGTTTTCACCTTATAGGTATGAAATAATGACTTCTTCTGGTTGTAGGAGAGCATAATTTTTTTAAAGACAATAATGTTTTTTAGGACCCGGAAGAATTTTTAAATGGCTTATTAGCTCAAATATTGCGCGCTGAGCCATTTCTGAAGCTGTCGTCGGGCCAAGAGTCGTACTGCTACCAGGTGTTTGTGGAGCGGACAGGTGACGTCAAATTCCCCACCTTGCAGTATCTCGTGAAGCAGTCCTTCGCTAACTCCGGAGTCAAACTCACTGAGGTAAACACTATTTTCTTTTAACTTTTATATTAAATTAAATTATGGGTTACATAAATAACATTACATTGTTACAGGTTCCTTCAACTTTAATCATACAAATGCCTAGATTTGGTAAACAATATAAGTCATTTGAGCAGGTCCAACTTTCGCCTCATTTAGATATCACCGATCTCATCGAAGGATGTAAGTATTATTCAATATTAAATTAATCAATTTATTTCCAATAATATGTCAGCAGATAAAACATTGAAATATTCATGTGTAAAATTACTCTTTCATAAAAATATTATAATATCATAATTTATCTAACTAATGGGAACAATTTCTATAATAATATTAAAATAGATATGACCTGGTAAGCATAAGTCAAAACTAAATTGACAATTAGTTGATTAAAAAACGATAGTGAAAATTCAACTGTGAATAGTGATGAACGGCCTATTCAACTAGTTCAGGGGTGGCGAACCTTTATGCAACGAAGTGCTAAATTTTGAAGAAATGTGTAATGCCATAGACGTGCCATCAAATTATTTTGTCTGATTATCAATTCCATGGTAATGACATCGCGTTCGTTTTTATATAATATCTACTTCATACTTTTCTGTAATGTTTTATGATCGTCGATGTGCCCAAAATATTATTCGTGTGGCATTTATAGCACGCGTGCCAGTGGTTCGCCACCCCTGAAGCAGTTCGTTATAATGCCCATCCCTAGTGAGTGCGGTGTGTCATGGTGTCATGGTGTCATTGTGTTGGGCCAGTGCCGAAGCAGTGCCTGTTGTGCGGCTCGCTGGCGGTGTGGGAATGCGGGCCGTGCGATTGCGACTGCGAGATGGACGGCTACACGCTCTGCGACCGCTGCCTGCGCCTCTCGCACCCCAACCGGCTGCGCCACAAGG